TACCTTCTGTCGCAGACTCTTCAGTCTTCCCTCGCAGACCCATCAGCTGACAAATAGAGACTTGCACGGAGCACAGCAGTGAGTTTCAGACCTTGGGACTGAACTCCTCAGTTTGGGGTGTGCAGACGCCCTCTGCACACTCCTCCATCTGACTCTGCCAACCTTGTAATTCCTTATACATTGTAAATCTTGTGTTAATATCTGTTCCTTATATTATATCTGTTCCTCTAAGTAAAACCCTGACCAGTACAGCAGTGCAGAGAGAAAGACCGGGGTTCACTCCGCAGAACCAATACCAACAACAACAAAATCAGCCTAAAATATCAGCAGTTGCCCAAGACAGGCACTGGCTGCTCTTCACTCAAATAAGCAGTGCTTCCGTGTGAGCCCTGCTGGACACCAGGACCACCTGAGTCCCCAGGTTGGCTCCAGCTCTGGCCGTGATCCAGCCTGCACCTTCTGCTCACTCTGTGCCCATGAAGGGGATAGGAAAGACGGAGAAAATGAAAAGGGAAGTGTTCTTTGCCTCTCTAAAGCCCTGAACTTCCACACCAGGGAGTTCTAGGTTTCCCAAGTGAGGAGTCCAGGGTTGCTTGGTGCTGTTCAGGGCTGGGGATGTCACCCTGGCAGGAAGGGCAGGAATGCAGACCACACTCTGGCACCAGGGAGGTGAGACCAGGACTCCCAGTGCCAGGGGACCCAGGGGCTGCTGGGTGCTTAGTGCCCTAGTGGGGAAATCCCATGAGCTCCTAAAAAGAGGAGACTTGCTGAAGCAGACCTGCGGGGAAAAGGAACGGAGGGGCAGGAATTTGAGTACAGTGCAGGAGGTCCGCAGAGGTCGTGACAGGCAACCCAGGGTCAGGGACAGCATGCAAGCTTCTGGGAGCTGCAGGTGACGTCAAACAATAAAAAGGCTGAGTGAGGCTGTCCCGGGCGAGCTGAGGATCCATTAGAGGTCTTTAAGACAGCGGGAGAGCTGCTGACAGTAACCCGCTGTAATCATTTTGTGTTGCTGTGTTGTGTTCTGTTTGTGTAAAACAGTACAGAATCATTGGGCAGAAAGGGAGAGACTTACAGGAGGACATAATCACAGCGGCTCTCCCTTCTGAGCGCACTACATGCTCCGCCAGGGTTTCATGCAGGTTTCTGTGCTGCTGGACCCATTTCTGTGGCGTCAACAGAGGTATCTAGGCCATACACATTGCTCAGGCTCCCAGTGCCAGGGGACACGGGGCTGCTGGGGGCTCAGTGCCCCAGGGAGGAAATCCCAGGAGCTCCTGGAAGGACGATCCTCAGCTGGAGCAGAGCTCAGGGGCACAGGGTCTGAGGGTCAGCTTCCTCCAACTTCAGCGCAAGAACACTGTGTTCCTTACAGGCAAACCTCAGGTCTAGAGAGCCCTGGGAGGCCCAGCTCCCTGCCCAGCAGAGATGCCTGCCCAGGCCAAGACGCTGGGAAAGGACTCAGTAGCTGGGTAGTTTGAGGACTGCACGTGTGGCTCAAGTGAAATGCTCCCGGACGCCTGGCTCCCACAAGGGCACTTCCAGGTTCTCTGAGACTCAACTTCTCATTGTTAAAGTAAAAACAAAAGATGAATAAAAAGCAAGGAGCACCTGTCTGTGGCAGAGAATCCAGGTCCCAGATGAGCAGCGTGTGCACCGGTGTGCGACATGCCCTGCATGTGCCCTGGGGTGCAAATGACAGGAAAGAAAGCAGGAGGCAAAAGCAGCCTCTGAAGACTTCAGGGCCGGCCTTTCCTGAAACCCAGGGCAGATCTCAGGCACACACTGGCTGTCTCATCGCAGCCTGAACCTCACCAGAGGAAAGGGAACTGGGAGAGAGGGAGGAAACAGATCAGAGATGTGTACCCGCCCTGTGCCGCCTCCGCGGGGCGTGTGATCACCGTCACTGCGCACTTGTACTGAAAAAAATCTATTTTGACATAAACTTAAACATCGTCTATGGCTCAGTGTCTTATTGACCCCAGCTCCATTCTTCTGAGGCTTCCCAAGGTCAGCTAGAGAAAATTCCAATCTTCTTGTTGGCCAGGACAGCACAAAATCAGCATCACCCCATCCTTCCCTCTCCCTCACACCCAGCGGATCCCCTCAGGACCCCAGGTCCCAGCCCTCTCCTTACTCCACAGCTGGTTCCCAGGCCCCTGCTGCTCGCTTCCCAGCATCCTCAGGGCCCTCCCTCCACGAGCAGAGCCAGGTATACAGGGATTCCTGGGACCAGCAGCCAGGGCAGTGGGCAGCACGGGAAGGTGGGCGCATGCGCTCATCCTCCTGCCAGACACTGCGTGCACATGTGCACACACTCCCAGCGGCCAAGGCATGCACATGCGCACACACTCCTGCCAGCCGCTGCTATCCTGCCAGGCTCTGCCAGGCTGCCAGTCCAGGGCCTGACACAGTTGGTCAGATAAAGATGGGACAGCGGACTCTCGAACTTCACACCTGCCTTTCATGGAAATCAGTGCCTTGAGAGCAGAACTTGGACAGAAGGAGACAGGAATCTGCCGAGGAGAACTCCACAGATGACTACAAACATGATCAGTCAGGAAGACAGCCAGCCAAGCGCTGGTTTCCTCTGGGAAGTGCCTGAGTCCTGTGACACCAGGACAGCACAGTACTATGGGGACAAGTACGGGGATGCAAGCATCTAATCCCAGCCCTGAAGGAGCCTGGGGCAGAAGCAGCCAAAGCTCAAGACCAGCCTGGGCATCTTGGCAACTTAGCAAGACTCAGTCTCAAAATGAAAAAAAAAAGGGGGGGCTTAGTGTGAAGACCCTGGGTTCACTCACACCAACACCACTTAGTCCCTCCAGCTCAAAGAAAATGAAAGGAACAGAACTGTAGCTATATCCAGGGCCTTCTCTGGAAGACACGGCCTCCTGGGAAGACATGGCCCTGACCAGCAACAAGAGCAGGCACCTGAGGAACAAGCCCATGGGGGCTGAGCTGGGTGCTCTCACCTGGGGCGGAGGTCCTCACACAAGGCCCAGCAACCGCCTAGGAGAGAAAAGAAAAGAGAAAGCAAGGAACCCCTCCCACACAACCATACAGACAGTTTGGATGTCACTGTCCCTGTCACCATGCCTGAAGCCTGAGATGCCTGACAGCGCCACCTGCCAGAGGTCAAGGCAAGCATCCCGGGAAGCCAGTGCCCAGGGCAGCAGCCTTGTGTCCTCTAAGAGTAGGGTCAGAATGGCCCCACAAGCACCCTCCTCACCCAGTGGGGACTGCAGGCTGAGCCTCGTCCTCCCGACTCCACATCTTCTTCCTCTCTGCAAAGGCCTCCATGCTGGCTGCTTCCTCTAACTCACATAAAGGGTCTGAGGTGCGCATGAAGTTTGTAGCAAGATGCTCTGTGCAGAAAAGGTTTTGGCAGCAGGGCGAAGAGGGCAGAAGTGTGGTGGCTGCTCGCTCAGCACGCGGCCCTTGCGCTGTCCCTTTCCGGAATCTCCATCTCGTAGACCCCTTTCGCGCCTAAGATCTGCTCTGTCCGTCGCGAGCTAGCCCTGGCCCCTTGGTGTCCAGGCCCCAAGGGGTACAGGCGGGATCAAAGGCTGTTTCCCCAGGGACAGTCCAGAGCACCCCCTCCACCTCCTGCCCAGAGGAGCAGCCCTCGGGCCCCCTCTAGCGGCCGCCCACGTGCTCGCTCCCGCCAAGGTGAATCTGCCTTCTGACTAAGGCGCTGGATGGTCTCACTCCAGGGGCCTCCTGGTCCTCCGCAGGGTGCCCTGCACACTCTCAGACGCTCTCGAGCTCGAGCCACACGCAAAGGGGCAC